GTAATCACTGTACCAGTCGTACAAATCGCCTAATAACGCTAGAAACGGCAACCAACCACATCCGCAAACTCCCGCAACCGCAATCGCAACCGCCGCGTTTCAACCAGTCAGACCCTAATAAGTAGACAAAATCCTTGTTTTGGATAGACTTCAATAAAAAATTAAGAAAAGTGATCACATATATACAGATATATCGTCAAACTATTCATTTGATACGATTCAGTTACTTTTACAAATAATTTCGCAAAAAATAAATATAAAAAATCAATAAATATATTTTTTTGAACTATATAACTATAACCGCAAATATCTAGCTGTATCCTAACCTCCAAAATACTTAGGATTAGATCAAATGTTATTCTAATCGAGAGTATTACGGCTAAGTTCCCACCACTTTATTTTATTTTAAACAAAAATAAATTTGAAATAGAGGAAAAATAATGACACGTAATTGAAGTATTGTTTGAGAACTACGAACTTAACGGATACGTAAAAACATCAATTAAATAAATAAAAGAAAAAAACAGAGAAAGCAAACAAAATATAAAAGAGTGAGAAGAAGAGGACAGAGAAGCGACCTTTACCACACACAAACCTCTCTCGCTCAATCCGCCATTAAAACAACCCAAAAAGCTTCTGCTTCTATTCAATCCCAAGTCAGTAAAAATAGGGTTACCAGAAGAACCCCACCGTAATTCCACAGAGGAACTGCACCGCTCGCGTTCCTGCTGCGGTTTGAGGAAGAAAAAGAGCAGTAACGGTAGCAGTAACAAAGACCACCACAAGGACGAAGAGAAAGAGAAACCAAAGATGCAGCCTAAAGATTCTGCTCAGACGCAGAGCCAGCAGATGGCCAGCTTGAGCTTTAGCAGTCAGATGTCTAGAGAAGACGAGGAGATGGCTCGCTCTGCTCTCTCTGCTTTTAGGGCTAAAGAGGATGAGATCGAGAAGAGGAAAATGGAGGTTCGTGAACGGGTTAAGGCTCAGCTGGGTCGGGTCGAGGAAGAGACCCGACGTCTTGCTAACATCCGCGAGGTTTGTGTGTTTTTTGTCTTTAAAAAGTTTTAAACTTTAAAGATCTCAGAAGTTTTGTCTGAAATGAGACACATGCAAGTTTGGCTTCTTGTTTTTCTGTGTTGGTATTTCGAAAGTCTGTTCTTGTTCTGTGATTTTAGAAGGTTTAGGGTTTCAAAGATGTGAACTTGTTGAGTCTAAACTGTGTAATGTCTTTAAGCTAATGGATCTGCATGTAATCTGTTTTCTGAACACAGTACAAACTTTATTGATGGGTTTTTAGGTTTCTGGTGAAAGCTATGTTCTTGTTGTTGTTTGGTTCTTCACAAGCTCTGTTTTTTTTTTCAAGCAAGAGTTTGACTTTTGTGTGAAATGTTTATGTATTTTTTTGGTTTCAGGAGCTTGAGTCTATGGCAGATCCCATGAGGAAAGAAGTTTCTTTGGTGCGTAAGAAGATTGATAGCGTCAACAAAGAACTCAAACCATTAGGCGCAACAGTTCAAAAGAAGGTAATATATATCTTTCAAGAGCAGTTAGTGTTACTTGGTAGAAAAAAGTTTTGCTTCTTACCAAACCCAAACTCAAAAAACGCAAGTCCTTAATGTCAACTCAATAGGTTTGGTTGGGTTGACAAAAGATACAGAAACTCATGTTTGTTGTGTTGTGTGTTTATGACATGAAACAGGAAAGGGAATACAAAGAGGCATTGGATACATTCAATGAGAAGAACCGTGAGAAAGTTCAGCTTATCACCAAGCTAATGGAGGTTAGTTTCGAGTTCTATATTCTAGTTTCAGACAGCAAAACCGAGTTTTGTTTGAACATACACTAACCGGTGTTTGGTTTGTTTTTCTCTAAATTTCTCCCTGGGGAGATGGGACAGTTGGTTGGAGAAAGCGAGAAGCTGAGGTTGAAGAAGCTTGAGGAGCTTAGCAAGAGCATAGAAACCGAGTGAAGATTCCATCTCACAGACAAAAAGACCAAGAACTAATTGGGCTTAGGGTTATGGTTCTCTATCTGATGTATTTATTTATTTATTTTTCATGAAGTTTGGTGTGGTTTTAATTTAGTTTGAGGTTGTTCTAGTTTTTTGTTTTTTTTCCTTTTTCTAAATGGCTTGATTTCGTAGAATTATGATGGGTGTTTTATGTTTTTGATTAACCAAATTAGGGAAGGTTAATGGGATAATGCTTAGTAGGGGCTACTGAATGCTTTAAGGGTTTGTAAGTTTGAATATCTTTTTTTTTCTTGTTTTTTTAAATTATTTTATTATTTTGATTTTAGCTTTATTTTAATTTCTTTCCCCACCCCTTTAGCTTTTTCACTTTTTTGGGTAAAGTAGCCTCTCGCCGAGAAGCATGTGTGTTTGAAATTGAAATGATTGACTTCCTGTCAAAGTGTGATGTCTTGCTTGACTCACAATAGACGCAACACAATGTGGGGTTTGAACTGAACATTTCCTAGTATTATTTTCAAACTCAAAAATGCTTTAACAAGATATCAAATTAATATCACTACAAATGATCTTTTAATCTTTAGTAGAACACACACACTCTAGCAGCCAGTTCCCTACTCATTGAGTCAATAGCAGATTATATCTTTTTATTGTGCTTGACCAAAAGAAGTTGAAGATAAACTCATTGAGCTGGTAAGACAGAAAAATTCGATCCCATGGGGAATGCAATTATATTAACAAACTATTTTGGTGCTGTATGATCTGGAAAGCATAAATGCTTTGGTGGATACTGGAAAACCAACCACTTATAAACCCCATTTAAACAGTAGATTCATTTTGAGGCCCATCTTATAATAACAGCATACACTTTGCAGCTGGCACATCAGAGCCGCTTTGGAAGGTGAATAAAATATCTTTTCAAAGTTCGGAAAATTATCCCAAAAATAAGGCTGATCATCCACAAAAGATTGCAGTGGTAGACAAAATATCTGAAAGTATACATAAAAACAAATCAGAAGATAAGATCGTAGAAAATGCATATAAACGATAGTGAAATTTTTTTTTTTTTGAGGATAGTGAATTATTTTTTTAATTGTTTCGAGTTTCGACAGTCTAAACAAAGGAGTATCCACCGATCCATAAACTGATTTCATGTGTTACCTTGTGGCTCCAAATTAATATATGATTGTACACTAACGCGAGAGATTTTGAATTTACAAAACTTAGAGAACTAAACCGCTGACGTTTGGAGAGTCAATAGCAGATTTTTTTTTATCAAAGAATAGCAGATTATTGTGCTATAATTATTCGGAAATCAGAACAAAGAGACAACAGATTAATCTTTAATAAGCAGAACAACAAAAGCTGTTCTTGCATCCTCAAAACAAGAGGTGTTGAAGTTCAACAGAAATCCTCAAATGGCTTCTTATTTGGGCGGTTTGCAAATTCTCAGTTCTAAATAAAACAACCCAACAAAAATAAAAACACAAATCCATAGGAAACTGAAAAACCCAATAATGTAAGTAAAGGCTCTCTGCGGATCATAACGTCACAACAGAAACCATCGACAACGATTCTCAGTACTTGTAATCCTTCACGTGAAGGCTCTCTGCGGCTCCATCACCAAGCTTAGCATCACCTTTGTAAGTTCCAAGCGTGGCTTCAGAGTTAGCCTTGCACCTCACATACAAGGCCTCTTGAGCAGCCTTGACATTCTCCTCTTTACCCGCCCATGTCTTCAAAGTGCTCTGTTGCAACGCACGTCCGAACGAGAAAGACAACGACCATGGCTTCTTGGTCTGCAACTTGTTCATGGCGTTCAAGTTCTTGGTCGCCTCCTCCTCGCTCTGTCCTCCAGACAAGAAGACAATAGCTGGAACAGCTGCTGGGACCGTCCTCTGAAGGGCACGGACGGTGTACTCAGCGATCACCTCTGGTGCAACCTTAGCACTGTCGGATCCAGGCGTGACCATGTTAGGCTTCAAGAGAGTTCCCTCAAGCAAAACATGGTGGTCGCTAAGAGCCTTGTAGCAAGCCGCAAGGACACGCTCGGTGACAGCAGCACACTTGTGGATGTCATGGGATCCGTCGACAAGAATCTCAGGCTCAACGATCGGTACAAGACCGTTCTCCTGGCAGATAACAGCGTATCTAGCCAAACCGTAAGCGTTCTCGTGGATGGACAGCTCTGATGGCTCGTTCTCGCCGATCTTGAGAACCGCACGCCACTTGGCGAAACGTGCACCCGCTTCGTAGTACTTCTTGCAACGCTCACCGAGACCGTCAAGACCCTGAGTGGTGGTCTCACCGTTGGTCCCGGCTAGCTCGACGGTACCCTTGTCGACTTTGATACCTGGGAGTACTCCTGCTGCCTTCAAGATATCAACGAAAAGCTTGCCTGTGTAATCGAAAAATCAAAAAGGCAATCATGACACATTTATAATCAAATAATGAACACATACATACAATTATATACTGAACATATACAAAAACATATATAATCTACTCATACGAACGGGTCATGGGCAGAGCACAATAAAACATTAGACTTGGACCTCCAAATTTTAAAGTTAATATATATGACATGTCCCAAATTATTATTTTTTTTTAATATTAAGATTGTTAATAAATTGTTTGTTTTGTCCTAAAATCTCAGGGCAGGTTCTGCATACAGACACACAATTATATACTAAACATATAGACACACATATATACCGAACACAAACAGACATAGAGAGAAAGTAGAGATTTAACAAACCATCGGAGCTCTTTTGGTAGAGAGTTTCCTCGAAGAGGATGACACCGCTGAGACAAGGGAGAGCACCAGGGGCGGTGAAGAGAAGCTCACGGAGAGCCCGTCTGTTGGACTCAACGTTCTCGACGTTGATGCTTGCAAGACGCTTTCCGATGGTTCCGGTGGACTCATCGGCGGCGAGAATACCCTTTCCGGGTGTGCCGATGTAGGCGGCGTTAGTGATCAACTCATCTGCAAATCGTTTTATAAAAATGAAACTCATCAATAACTAAACAACACTTCAGATCGGTAACTGAAATACAGTTGATTAGATCCGTTAACTTAATATATGATAGATTAGTTATGTAAGAAGAAGACAAGTCTAACACTGATGAACAATGAATCAGATCTAAGCTTGTTTTGAACAAGGTTAAGCGTCTAAACCAGATCTATACATGTAAATAACAAATCTAACGGGGGTGAAAAGATTCGAGTGAGAGAGAGATGTTTACCGGCGAACTTGCTGGTGAAGGCAGACATGGTTGTTTTGACGGAAATATCGAGAAAATGTTTAGAGAGAAAAGAGGATGAAAGGTGGTGGACCAGTTGAGAAAGGGATGTGATTTTATAGCTGCGGGTGAGAGTCTATTCGTTCGGTGAAAAGTTAAATCAAGGGTTAGATCTGTGAAATGTTCTCCAAGTAAAAGCTTTTCAGCCGTTGGATCTCACGTGGTTTTATTTGGCAGTTTTCGGGTAAATGTCAGTTCTACCCCTTATTAGTGTGAGTTGATCGCGGAGTAGCTGAAGGGTAATATATTGGAGTGTTGATTACGGTGAAGCATTACTTCGGCCGCACAACGATTCAAACCTCCTTCTAGCGAGTTTAGACATTTGTTTGTGTAATATTAAAATCTCAAAAAAATACTCCCTCCGTTTCATATTAAGTGTCGTTGTAGAGAATTTTTTGCTTACAAAATAAGTGTCGTTTTCGATTTTCAATGCAAAATTTATTAATTTTATTATATAATTAGTTTTTCTATTGGTTAAAATATGGTTTGGTGTATAGGTAACTGTGTTTTTATATAGGAAATATGTAAAACTATGGATCTGGATCGGATATGAAAACATTACGTGAAAATCAAACAGTATTTTATGATATCTTTATTTATCGTAGTGAACACTTAGAGAAAGTTTGACTACAAAACTGAAAATTCTATAGAATATTCGTATTCAATATATCTAGAAAATAGAATATTCTTACTCGAAATAAATTTATTTCTAGAAAAATGCTGACTTTGAGATCTCCGAATATATATAATTAATCTGATGTGTGAAGAGAGAGACACATAACCGAAACAGTTGCGACTCTTCAAACCCATGAATCAGCACACTATCTCACTCTTTTTGCTTTCTACCGACAGTACCAGTGTCCATAAATAACTGTGGTCTTTTTTTTTTTTGTGTTTGGAAGTTTTAAAGGTGTCTTTTAGGATCTTTAATGGGTTTCTTCCGTTATAAAAATGAAACTAGATTTTGACCCGCGCTTTAAAAGCGCAGATGTATTTTTACCATTTTGATAAAATTTATTTAAATTAATTATTCAAACACAAAATTTTAAAAGTTTTTTTTATTAATATTTAAAATGTTCTATTATAATGTTTGATTTTCACGTAATGTTTTCATATCCGATCCAGATCCATAGTTGAACCGGTACATCCGGCAACTATTATATAATCCAGTTAAGATTTAATTAAAAATTTAAGCAAACCGGTATATATCTTAAAACCCGATTATATTATGATATCCGTTGATCCGTTAAATAACCCCATAAAAACTGAATATATTTTTAAAAATTTGTTAAATAACTCATATTTTTAATATTAAAGAAAATTAATTTTTTGTAATTTCTTTAATAAAAAATTTCTTGTCATTTGTAAAAAATGAAACAATGGTAATAGAAAAAAAAACACAATTTATTCATATGACAATATTAGTTTATTTTCGTTACTAATAACCTATGATAACATTTTTACTCATTTTATATCTAAAAATTAGTTTTTAAAACAAAATGAATTAACATATCATTATTCTGGATAAAATGACACAGTAAATAATAATTTTTAATTTTTAATCGCTAAATAATATGATGCACGGAAATATGATATTAAAATTAAATAGAAAATCATAATTTTCATAAAAGGAAAATTATTATTAATCACAAAAATAGGAAATATTATCAGTTACCATAAATATAGGAGATATTAAATTGCTTAGTTAATTAAGATTCTAAAAATAAATAGTGGTATTATCTTATAAATATGATAAAAATCTAGGGGTAGAATCCAAAATTTTAACAATAGGATCCTGCTTTAATAGTATAGATCTGATGTTATTAAAAAAAAAAAGATAAATTGCGTTGTATGTCATTCAAAAAATCTATAATTCACACTATGATTAATTGACCTAATATCCCGATTTATTATGTGTCTTTTATATAATATTGCCACATTATCCTTCTATTCAACCGGTGAAACCTGCAAAAAAAAAAAACTAATGAAAAAAAAATGTGGCCAAATTGTGGTAAAGAAAAAATAACAACAAAAACGTAGACGGCGAACAAACATAATGGAACTTTCATTCTTTTCGTTTTTCTCTTTGATCATTGGTTGTCACAATCATGTTTTTTGTTTTTATATTCTGTTTTCGTTTTTGAATCTTGCAAATGAGATTGAGATTAGCATATCAGGGTTGGTCCGCGGTGTAATACATATTCAGTGGCGAAGAATAATGTCTGCAGATCGGTAAAAGTGTTGTCGTGTCGGAAAAAAAAAGAGATGAAGACAATTTCTATATAGTGATGAAGAATAATGATGTTGTGAGTGACACAATGCTGATCGGAGAAGATGACCAGTGTTTGTTAATTTGTGTTCTATTCTCTTATATGCATATAGAATAGCAATGTAAAACAACATGTATTATATTTGTTCTATACTATTTTAACATGTTTCATTTCATTTGACGATTTATAAAGAGTGTTCTATTTTTTTTAGAAATATAGTTTGTAATTTTCTTAAGTTTAAACTGTCATTACATGTTTAAAAATCATAATATTTAATAAGTAGAGGTCAGGTTGGAGTCTTATAATTTCAGCAATATATACTATGATACTTATTTAATTCTATTTGGATTTAGGTTTATATTTGGGTTTATGGTTATATTTGGGTTTAAGATTTACTGATTAGGGTTTAAGTTATAGTATGTAGGGGTTAAAGTGAGATTGGGCAAAGGTTTAGTATTTATATTTAGGGTTTGAGATAGAGTTGGTATCTGATACAATTTTGGTGACATAGAATAGAACTAGTGAAACGTTCGCCACTATATACTATGCTTTTTGTTTTGTTCCATTCCATTTGAGTTTAAGTTTATATTTGGGTTTATGATTTATATTTGAGGTTAGGGTTTATTTATTACTCATTCTATTTCATTAAGTTACATATTCTAGAAAAAAATATTTGTTTCAAAAAGGTTTTGTTTTTGTATATTTCAATGCATGTTTTATCAAATAATAATGATTAGTTGCAATTTTCAAAAACTTTAACTGCACTTATTGAATTTTTATTGGTTTAAAATTATGAGAAAAAGATAATCACAAAATTTATGCATTTAATAGATGTTTTATTAATATGTGTGAAAAACCTAAAACATGTATTATATTGAAACATAGAGAGTATGGTTTAGTATTTTGGGTTTATGGTGAAATTAGGATATATTAGTATCTAGATTTAGGGATTGAGATAGAATAAATATCATATACTCCCTCCGTTTCGAATTAATTGTCATTCTAGAGAAAAAAATATGTTTCAAAATAAGTGTCGTTTTAGAGTTTCGAGGCAAAATTTATTAGTTTTATATAATATTTTATTTTTCTATTGGTTTAAAAGTGGTTAGTTGTATAAGTAATTGTGTTCTTATCTTGAAAATATGTAAAATTAAATGTTTTCTTAACCTGTGTGCAAAAACCTACAATGACAATTAAAATGAAACGGGGGGAATACTATTTTGGTGATATGGAATAGAATCCGTGAAACTTTGTGTTTACTATGTAGGTGACGTGGATGTGTTATCTTCCCTCAGCTAATAACAATTTATGGTAATTATTGGCCACTTGATTTCGTTGACTTTATTCTTAAATATCTAAGTTAGTAGCAACTTATATAAATTAAGGTAAAACCGACGAAAATGAAACACAATTATTAGATAATACATTATGTTAAAATCAGTGTTCTGCACTTAATTTCTTTTTCAAATTTGGCCATTTCACAAATTCTCTCTAAAAACGTGTTTCTTTTGTCTCCTTTGAGATTTTTTAGAAACTTTAAAGAGCAAATATTCTTTTTAAGAACTGTTAAAGAGCACATAATTATGAAATTAAATTGATTTACACGTTTAGACCGTTTAAATTGTGAAGTACATGATTTTGACATGTATTCGGCAAATTATTGGACTAGATAATAACTCGCGCCTTGCGCGGAATGAGATTATTAATTTCGTTATTTTTAGGATAAGAAGATATTATGTATGTTTAATCCTATGTTACACGGATGGAGGTTCATTTCTTATTTTTGAAATGGAATCAGAACCGGAAACATTTGAAATCGCATGAAACTATCACAAATCATGTTTCTAGAATTGTGATGTTTGGAAGCGTAACGGAAATGCACTGTTCATAGGTGAAAGCGTGATGGTCTTTAATCGGAAACTTGACGGTGGTTGTATTATTGATGTGCAAAAAAGATTAAACATAATTTTTGTGGGTTTGCAAATTTTAATTGATTTATAACCCAATTTAACTCACTTTATTTATGAAATATTAATTAATAAATAACAATAGAGCTGGACTTTAAAAACGTAAACCTATTCCAATTCTAGGTTTCTGAAGAATAATATAATTGTAATATGCTTTTTTCACTTATTCGTTTTGCTTCATGTTGTTTATATTACCAGTTGATGTATAAAACAGATAACTCTCGTACTATATTTTATCAGCTTCAAAGTAATTATAGATATAATTTACACATTGTCTGTCTTGCTTCACCATTCCAAATAGATCCATCATCATTTTCTTCCCCCCAAGCCTTAACATTCCTTTCATACTCTTCGTGAATTGGGTCTTCAGGTTCCTCTTGAACTTCCACTTGCTGATCTTCAGCCGAAGGAACTGCCTCAGGGACATCTTGAGCAGTATCTTCATTCATTTCTTCAATGATGACTCCTCTATTTGGAACCATCTCAACCTTTGTGTCTCCTCCAGCATTATCCTCATCATCACCATCGTCATCTTCATCATTATGACCCCCACCTCCATTTTGTATCAAACAAGCACCGGAGTCATGAGTAATCATACCACATATTTTGCAAAATCCACGAAGACGCTCATATTGGATTCAAAGCAGAGTGTTAACGCCAACAACAAACTTGGTTTGTTCACGTTCCAATTCAACCGCACTCTCACAAACTCCAGCCTGCCGCCATTCTCTTCATTGTAATCCATTTGGATGGACTCACCAAGCACACGAGCAATGTTGACAATTACAGAACGG